GAGAAGCAAAGTGGTATTTCTTCCATGGAGAAAATTTGGGGTATAACCTCATGTGAAACTGCCATAAAAACTCACCCACAAAGGCTGCCATCTGAGCTGCTGTTCTTCCCACAGAGTTGACAACATCGGTCTCGGCGCCAGCTTCCAACATTACCCACGTGATGTCTTTATTACCTGGGTTCAATAGGATCGCATTTGTTAATGTTAAGGAATGCACGGTTCAAATACCCCTTTCTAATTTATCTGTACCCTTTTCTCTCATTAAGTTTTAGGTTTGCATCGTATGGATAGTTCCATTTTTTCCTAAACTTTAAATCATAATGACAGTAAGAGTAAAATGCTACAAGAACCCACATAGAAATTAAACTTATATTCTGGAAAACACATCAGGCAATATAAAAATTGAGTAGAATTGAGTATCACTTTTTTTTTTAACAGGATGAAATACATTTTTCCTAATGATGATGCTTAGTACAAAGTCAAAACAAACAAAAATATCAAAACAAAGACAGGTGAGATAAAATGAATAGAAGTCTTCGCTTAATATCTGCTAATCCAACACATCCAATTGCATTTATTCTATTTGCATGCTATCACTAATGGAATCATTACAGATATTTAGCTATTATGAACTACACTCAGTGAACAGTATTTTCCACTAATTTTTGCAATTTGAACTACAATTTCCTTAGGAACAGTTCCTAGAAAACGCTGCAGGATCAAAGGTTATGCGTATTTTAAATGCATTTTGCTAGGCTGCCTTCCAGCAAGGTTGGGCTGATGTGCCCGTCCCAAAACAGTACAAAGAAGTTCCTTATGCCAATGCAGGCATTATCACTCTTTCTTAACCTCTGCCAATATGGTAAGTGAAAAATGATTGTTTATTGTTCTAATTTACATTTCTCTGGTACTGGTGAAAGTGTTTTATATGTTTATTGGCCAGTTGTATTTCTTTTGTTCTCTGTTCCATTTTCTGTTTCATTTTCTACTGCAGTATTTGTCATTTCTAAATGTTTTATAAGAACTTTTTATATATATAATAATATGACCCTTTAAGATATGTAGTAAATATTTTCCTTAGTTTTTTGTTTGTATTTTAACTCTATATATGGTATATTCTATATATGGAAATGTTATGATTATATATATTCAAATTGGTCAATGTTGTCCTTTTTGAATTCCATATTGTGTATCACGCTTACAAATGCTTTCCAGGATTATAAAAATACAGACTATTGCTTTTAAAGCATGATAATATTATATTACATCTTCATTTTCTTCAAAATGGCAACAATTATAGATAACGCCACTTAATTTTAGGTAATACTTCCCAACTGTCTTTATTTACCAAATCATAAGCAACATGAATCAGAGTAAATTTATAAATGGATCGGCCTATTTAGTGAATAAATATCAGTGACACAAACCTAAGTTCCATCAGAGCTGCTATTTTCTCAAGAGAACAACACAAGTTTTCATATTACTTCAATATACAGATCAAGGAATTAACTTGAAATAATATTAATAATAGATCCAACTCCTTGTCTACACAAAATACATCATTAATACAAAGAACCCATTGATTTAAATAACTAAAAAAACAGATCACCAAACTAACTACATAACATTTCATATATAACAACTTTCAAAAACCAATTCCCACCATTCTTTTCCATTAGAATTGACCTTAAAAATGACTATAATAAAAATGCATTTCATCTAAAAATATATATGTATTTACAGCAAATTAGTATACGTGACTAACAGTAATAATGTATTAGAATAAATGCTAAAACTTCACCAGAAAGTGCAGCAAACATGAGGGCTGTGTATCCATGCTCGTGTTGATGACAATTTACATCAGCTCCATGTCGCAGAAGTAATTTGCACATATCAAGTTTTCCTTTATANCAGCTAAGATGCTGAACAACAGCTCAACCTGTAGCTGGGCTGCCGTGAGTCGCCGGAGACGGCATAGGCTGCAGCCCCTGCTGCAGTGGGTTGCCATGGGCTACTGTGTGTGGCCAGCAGCCGCAGTGAGTGGCCATCCAGAAGCCGGTGACTGATCTGCCTCGCCCGCAATGATGGTGCCAACCTGGGCCAGTGAAGCAACGTCCTCCACAACTAGATTGAAGAGCAAAACGACAGCAACTTGTCTGTTTCCCTTCCCCCAATTTCCCAGCACTGTTTCCATCCCCATAATTGCCCAATAAAAATCTTAAAAAAAAAAGGAAAACTATGACTACTTAATAATAACTTTGCTATGGCTGAAGTTCCCATAAAGTCAAAAGAAAATCAAGACTGGCATAAAATATTTGTGACACACTTGACAATCAAAGGGTTAGCATCCATAATATACATAAAGCTCCTGAAAGCAGTAAGAAAGATACAACCGAGAGGGAAAACGATTAACAAATAGGAGCCGGCATCCACGGAAGAGAAAATACAAATGACCAACAACAGAAGCTTAATTTCATTAATATGGAGAAAGTAAATTCACAATATAGCATCTTTTCAAGTATTGGCAAAAATCAGAGTGACAACACCTCATTCTGGTGAGGATATTAATGGGAATGCAAATTGCTATGCCCTTTTGGGAAGCGATCTAGACTTACATTAAAATTAAAAAGACACATCTGTGTCTCAATCATTTTTCTTCTGAATGTATGTCTTACAGATATTAATGCATACCCATGTAAAAATTTAAGCACAAGGACCATTATTACATTGTAGTAAAGTGATTACAAAACAACTGTAAAATCTAGCAACAGGGGAGAGCTAAGTGAACTGCAGTACATCTATATCATGGAATATTAGGCAGCTGTTGGAATAACTGAATTTATACCTACTGAGATGGAAGGGACTTCCACAGCATACTGGCGAGTGAAGAAAACGAGTTACAAAGAATATATTTATTGGTATGATCACATTTTTAAAAGATTAACAAAAATCGTGCCCCTGGATGCACATACATATGTGTATACGCTGTTTTGGTTGAGGGGAATAAAAGGGGGACAGTGAGTTTCTAAAAACACTAGCTATATTGGAAAAGATAATGTCAAATCAAAGGGTGTAATGTTCTGTCTATGAAATTAGTCTAAACAGATGAATACACAATGAAACACTACACTTATTTTAGGATGGGATTGTGGACAATTTCTACCTTAAATTTTTATGAATGTAGACTTGATGAGAAAAAGAAAAGGGCATTGTATTAATGGTTAAAACAGGTTCCTCCAGTTCCAGCCTTGTGATCTGTGCAGGTACCTAACCTTAATCTGAGCTTTATATGATGACATTATGGACATAAGGAAAACTTGCAGAGTTAAATAGAATTTCAGATCATCTTATACCCTGACTTCAGGGCACATATCAGAAAACGGAGGCCCATGGAGGTGAATGGGTTTACCTGTGATCCTATAACTGATGAGCAGCACACATAAACTAAAACGGGAGTCTCAAGGTTCCTAGTTTAGTGTTCTTTTCTCATTGGACTGACACCCTCAATAACTGGCTTAGAGGAGAGTTGGGGCAACCAGGGAGCCCCTAAGTGTGGGAGATAAACATTTCTCCGAAGTTTGCACAGCAAGGACATACCTTTCTCAAATCCTCCTGAAATTGAATTAAAATATTTGCTCTCACAGCGCTGTCATAAAGTGACACAGTGACTGTCTAACTTAATCAACATTAGCTACTAGTAGTAGTTTTAAGATAATTTGATAGTAACGTTTAATAAAATATAACGTTTAACCATGACCTATACCTGATTAACTCCTACTCTATCTCCACTTAAATGTAATTTGTCTCAAAACCCTCTTGGAAGAGGATAAAAGGTTCCATCATGAAACTAGCCAAGATGTGACTCACATTTC